CGAAGATAGTGTAAATTTAAGTAAAACACTTTTAACGGTTCAAAACGCAAATTATATGATAGATGTTTTAAATTCTTGTAACGTTTAGACACCGAGTCTATATAAATAGCGCAGTATTTGTACACTTTAACGATTTAAAACATAATATATGTTAGTCAAACTAATTTGGCTGCGTTTTAAACCGATAAAATGTTAAATTTAAAAGTGTACTACTCGCGTAAACTACAGACAGTATTACTGCAGTAGTTTGTCAAACAGTAATATCGTTATAGAACGTTTCCAATCCAATTTTCTGTAATACTAGAGATCGAAAATAAAGTTATTTTTCAATTTTCTCAGACGACCCCAAGTTTACAAACAACTTTGATGAGACAAACAATTGAGTTTGCAATGATACAAATTATTGTATTAACTCGTAACTGAGACGACATCGAAATCGACACGAAGATAGATATATTATATAGTTTCCTGTTCCTTATACATTTATAGTTGTGGTTTGAGTTTACAAGCGTCATTTTCCTCTGCATGATTCATGCATCATTATATGGATACATGTAAGTACACTCTGTAGTTTACGCGAGTAGTACACATTTAAATAAAACACTTTAACAGTTTAAACCGCGATATATTTTAGTTAAACTTGTTTGAAAATTATTTTTAACTACGGCCCGACGTTTCGAATGCTTTGCAGCAGGCGGCTGCTGCAAATCAGTTTAACTAAAATATATCGCGTTTTAAACCGTAAAAGTGTATTATTTAAATATACATGTAAGTAGTCTGAATGTACAGACATCATTTTTAAAATCTTTTTTCTTAGTTTATTTAAGCAAATTAAACGCCTAAACTTCCTTTATACCAGATTTGTATATTACAAGTAATTATTCGTTTTCTATTGAAAATAGAGTTTTGTAATCATACAGTTCTTTTGCTTATCAATTCGAACACACTTTTGAAATAGATGGGGCTAGCGTAGCAGTTTTTCAGTCTCCCCGCGACTACGGCTGCTGCTAAGCATCCCAAACGTTGGGCCGTAGTATAAATAAATGAACTAATTTATTTCGCGTTTTAAATTGGTAAAATTTTTCAAGAAACCCCAAATTATTTTATTATTGTGGGATAATTCTTATAAGGTTACTTATCAACACATGCTTTTTATCTCAATTTTTATGTTATGCGCAACAGATCTCCAACAGAATTCCGTTTAGATGTCCAAAACATTGAAGACTCTTAACGTACTCGAAACACTTGCTTATTTACTTCCCATACATAAAATAATTTTCACCGCCCTTAAAATAGATAACGGTCATTTGAGCGTCCGCCCGTATGACCTCCACTCGCCATATCCGAAACAATGCAGCCAAATATTGTTATGACAATTATTCCTAACCGCATTACGAAAATTAGTATTCGGGTCAGACGCAAGCTTTGTTACCAGGAATGCTGCGTAAGCCGACACCTCAGCGATGCGCCTTTGTGAGTCAATACCCCCCTTTTAAGAAAAAAAGCGAATACACATTTAAACAAAACATTTTTAACGGTTTAAAACGCGAAATGTATTTGTTACCTTATCAGCGTTAAGTTTGGAATTGCGCGAGAGGTGCATATATCAATAGGTTGAAAAAATTCAACGATGATGTGTAAGACACGGTAGCTCAATTGGTCAGAGCAACAGCACGGAACGCTATCGATACCGGTTCAAATCATAGCCGTGTCGTTAATATTTTTGAATCTAAAATCGAAATTAACTATAAGTTAACTAATACATTTCGCATTTAAACAGTTTTTTTTTAATTCAGTGATTAACTTTTTTCTTCTCTTACCTAATACAGAAAAAATTGACGCAAAGGTCACGTCAAGGTTTGATCAGTTAAGTTACTGAAGTGTTAATAATGAACTAAATTCACGGTTATCATACAGTAGTTCCTACTGAGAGACATTTTTAAAATTTGTCTTAGAAGTATGGCCTAATGGTAGCAACGTAATAAACAACGGGCCTTAGGCTCGATCTCCACCGGATCCAGCATGTTTCTGATCAATAAAAAAAAATCTGAAACATGTTAAACTTCGTCGTGCCACTTCCGAGTGGTAGGAATAACGAAATTAAACGAAAAAAAAAAACGTGAAATTTAATCGCGTTTCGGATTCAGTCTATTATTTTCGACAATCTAAAGCTAAAAATCAGCACATCGCACAGGATATCGTATCTATTTTCATGTTATATGGTTTGAGTATTTCACGCCATCAATTGAAACCCAGACTTGTATGTCCTTACTTTCAGTTTCTTGGAACTCATCCTAATCATACATAAAATGCTTATTAAGAGCAGAGTCGCTCTTAACATGACATGCGCAATGTCTCTTATATTTAAACGCTACCAATGGCGCCGTCTTAGACGCCTCACTGAAAATCGGCGTTGTGCCGATTACATACATCTATTTTACTGTAATTTTGTGATATTCTTTGTATTTTTGTCTATGGATTTAATTTGATCTTTCTTACAGTCTTGAACTCCCCGATGGAATGACTTTCCTAAATCCACCACCAATAACTGCCCACGTCCCGCAAACTATAGCTACCTAGCATCAAAATGACACTTCCTTCACGTCTGTCACTAGATTTAGCATTCCCTTTAACTGTGTTCCGTCTAATGGCTTCAAAACGATCACAGCGATCCATAAAAATATGAACGCATTGAGAGCGACAAAAAAACCTACACCGTACTAAATTAGAAATTTCTATTCCTCGCTTCACCGGTAGCGTCTTCTATTTCCGAGTCGTCAATCTGTTATCTGCTTCTTGCGATACCTCGAGTTTTTTAACAGATTACTATACCGCAGCTATTTCTACTTGTTGCAAAGAATACTAACGCTTGTGAAAATGTAAATTCTACGCTTATAAACTTGCTCTGCGTTGATTAACCCAGAAGTGCTCTTCCGCTTTGGAGCCTAAAGGAGTTGCTCCCTCTTTAGAAGGGGTGGGGGGGAGGTAAGATATTTTTTTCTTTTCTCTTTATATAAGAACTACACTCCCTGTCGTAAAAATTATTGACATCGTAAAATTCAATACACTTCACTACTATGAAAAATAATTTATTTATAGACTTAAGTGTATACAAAAAAAAAGATTTGGAGTTCAAATGTGCATAATAATTAGACTAAAAATTCATTGCATTTTTTTTTATCTAGAATGAAATAATTAGCCAACTTTAAACAATAAAACAAAATGAAGCCGAACAATTTGTAGAAACCTTTTCAACTCTATTTCTCGTTGTGTTTTATGGAAGAAGCTCCATTAAAGCGGCAGTCGAGTAAAAAGAAAAGGGTAAAGTCCTTTAATATACGTGTGTTACATTGTTTTAATGTCGGGAGTCAGGAACACGAGACAAGGGCGATGTCAATTAAAAACGAGCCGTGTACTAATTGTGTTCGCTTTAGCTGAACGTCCGTCGAGGGCTTGTCCAGTGGACGCTCCTAATAATATTGTTGTAAATAATTGAGTTAGCTGGCGTATTTTTATAGAAAACGTCGTCAATAGCTACTTAGTAAGAGTGCACAAAGGTCCTGTGGGAAACTAAGGTCTTTCAGGGTTATCGTATTATAAATACTGTCTGCTTACGCGAGCAGTACACATGTAAATAAAATATTTTAACGGTTTAAAACGCGAAATGTATTAGTTAAACTTATTTACAAATTGTTTTGAGAACAGCCCGACGTATCGGATGCTTTGAAATAGTTAAAACAATTTGTAAGTAAGTTTAAATAATATATTTCGCGTTTGAAACCGTTAGTGTTTTTTTTAATTCGTAGGTATAGATAATATAAATAATAAGTAAGTAAGTGATATCTCTTTAGGTCCAGTAGGTAAACTAGACATAAGTTATATAAATTATATTTATCAGGCGTTTTACGTAAAAATGTACATAATATATTATACTACTATTTCCGATGTAAACAATTGAAAGCGTTAAAATGTACAGTAACAGTAATAATAAAAAAATCTATATTTCCTAACAAAGCTAATCTACAGAACCGTCACTATTTTTCAAGAATTTAAAAATGCATGACGCTTTATAGCATGACCAATCCACTAATCGATTAAGTGCTAAGTAACGAGTCAAGTAGTTGCTGGGTGCATGAAAGACCACGAACAAAATTTAAATAAAGCGTAACAAAAAATTAAGAACATTTTTGGTGGTACAATGTAACAAAGTCTAATGATTGACTAACACCTAATAGTTTAATCTTGAGTATATGGAAATATATATACTTGTGTACACACAATTCTATGTACCGTAAAAATATGAGAGATATCGTTATAAGAATACAAAAGACAAATAAGGGATGTTTCTTGTCATACAAAATAGATAATTCAACTACTAGTGTAATAACTACGAATTAATGTCTGGAGTTTAGACTTGTACATATAAGATTTAAAAAAAAAATATTATGAAACGGTCATAGAAATGTGTAGGCCCCCTTATCCAAATAGTATAAAGTACAATATTATATTTTTGTCAATTCAATATTTATCTATTAACAATGAAAATGTTGAGAAATTGAGACTATTTTTTTTTGGTGCGAATTTAATGTCTGAGTAATTTACATAAGGTGTACTTATTATGATTTTATATTTGATTTAATAGCCTTTAACTCTTGTTTCATATGACAATCGTTATATTATGGGAAAAAATATAAAAAAGATAGTTATTCTTTAATTATTTTCCATATGATAATTTAATACTTTTGCACTATAATAAGCGCCATCTTGTGTTGAATAGCGTAATCTTAACATGTGAGAAAATGAATTTACGCTCTCTAGCTTCGAATGGAAAAATATATGATATAAAACAAAGACATCTACTGAGTAAATGTAGAACTATAAATCTATTATAACTAATTACAGATGGCGCTGCATTAAACACACTGTGTATTACGTTAACTTCACATAGATGACGCTAAAGTAAATAACTTAATTATTACCATATTTCATAACAGATGTCGCTAGTAGTATAAATTACCTTGTACAGGAAGAGCACGCAATGACACAGCGTCTTCCTCAATTTCGTCCTCAGCTTCTTCTTCTGTTATCGAAGGTGGCGCAGCCCAGCATCTTAATCGTACTCCAGGGTTGCCAGCCTGCGATCCGCCATCGATCCGTACTCGTGGTAAACTACGTGTCGTGTAGTCTCCATTATTATTTGAGTTCTGTAAATGATAAATTAAATAATGTGAGATATGATTTTTAACAAGCTACAAATGTATATAACCATTGATCAATAAATCAGTTAATATAAAAATCGATTGATTAAAAAATCTGCTTAAACCTACTATTTCATCATTTTTTTTATCACTTCGTGGTTTAATTTTTATCGCGTTTCATGCAACGTACATTGTGTTAAGTAAAGGTTCCGGGTTCTAATTCTGGTAAAACATCAAAAAGACATTCGAATAAGCAAAGAATTTTCATCGCTTAATACTGCTAGCCAAGTGACAGATTCTAATTATACATATGTCAAATGAAAATAACATCTTACACGTATGTACATTTAACTAAATGAACATGCTTCATGTCAAAATTACATATGCAGAATACATAACGCACGCGCAACATAAAACAACCTTCACATTATCTAATAACTACATAATACTGATTGTGATTATGGAATTCAGAGCACGCGACCTATAACAACGTCCATTACAAAAACAATGGTGACAAGAATTTATATCTTTTTATCATAATTACATGTGATTCTCTTATTCACACGGTTTTATTCAAGTCGAGTCATTAAGAAGAATGTAGTCGCGTACTTCAGGCTATATTACCTATATTTTGGTGTACCCTTGATTAGTTTTCTTTTTAAATTATATTTTTAGCTTTTCTATGCCATAAACAACCATGTCGAGATGCAAATCCGATCTCTAGTACTTAAAATCGTTGACCAAACCAGATGCCTTAATTTTTCTTGAATAATTAAGACATCTGGTTTGAATAATAAACACTCTATGTTTAGTAAAACTATTATTTTTTTTTAAATATAAAACAATATTAAAAACTAACTAAGACTAAGCCTGACTAAGATTTTTTCACGATATAAATGTATATCCAACATATTGATATATATTATTGCGTAAGCAAAAGAAAATCTACGAAATATACCCATTTTTATTATATCGTGGTGTAAAACATTTTCTGATTTTGATAAAATTTAGTAATCTGTAAAGCATTCCTTGAAGATAAACATGAAATCTCTGGGTTTGTAATTTCAATGTTTCCCACGTCCTTTCCAGTCCTTTCCATAATGGCCTGAATTATTTCCATCGGCGCAATACCTACTTTGAGTTATGAAGGCTACTACTATATCTTAGATTAAACTTTAGATTAATAGAAATTGTAATACCAAGTATTGAACTAGGTACTTAAAATAAAAATACTTTTCGTATATTTGCAATTATTGTTATCAAGGGATGAATTAAATTCCTTATACAAAATTTAAGATTTACCCTTTAAATGAAACACTTAGAAAATAATTATAATCCTTGTTCTGAAATAAAATTTAGAAACTTTATGATGATATTGTACTTAATCCCTCGTAAGAAATCAGTCCATAAAAACCAAATTCTTCTTAGTTTCCTTAGTTTTAGACAAAAACAAACCTCTTAATCACACCCTATTTACGGTAATTCATTATTTTATGGCCACAGCACACGATTCATATAATTTTCACAAGTCAGTCATGCAAACCAGCAATAAAACTTTTACACTTTAGTCGTTACATGAGCGACGATAGAGGATAATTTAGTCTGACCCAATTACATCCGTCGGATAAGTGAATAGACAAACAAAGGCTAAAAATACCACCAACAGAATTCCCTTTTATGTTTTTAGGTGCGTTATAGATAGTTAGACCATTATCTTTCTATTGGAGGAAAAACAGATCACGATTGTAAAACGAGGACGTAAATACTTTTTAGTTTGTCCACAGACTGTATATTTGGGATAAAAAGTTCAGTTTGGCTTTCGAGACTTTTAAAACGTTTACGAGAAAAGCCACGGATTCAAAATAATTAGCTACGTAAGTAATATTGAATCTTTAGTAATATCAAGCTACAGAGTTAGTTGGTGCTAATCTCAGGAACTACTAGTTCGAATTATAGCAAAGTATATCTGTGTTGTTTGGATTATTTATCGAGGAAGGCTTTAGGCTATAAAACATCAACAACAATGCTTAAAGATACCCAAACAAATATGTATAAAAAATTCTTTCACCAATTTCTCGCATATTGTTTTCTTTTTTCATCATCAGTCTAATTTTAAGTAATATATAATGAATTTTAAATTTGATTTAAAAATATGATAGTTAATCAACTTTATTATTATTTTATATATTTAAGTACGTTAGTTTTTATGAAATAAAAGTTACCACACTTTCTAATAAACCGAAAATGTATACTTCGTCTACTGCTATTGCAACTTAAAGCTATTATTAGTAATTGGTTGTTAGTTTAAGCTAGTAAACGTACGTATATTGGTGTTTATAAATACGTACGTTTATACGTACGTACGTATATTTCAAAATTTAACGACGTGTGATGGCGCCGCAGCCGATAGAAACGAACGTGGCTTTCACATCGTCACATCGACAAACATTGGTACATGGCTAACAAAAAGAAAATTAACTTTAGCAAAACCATACTCAAAGCATCTCATATTTCTTATGATGTCAGCACGGTCGTTTGGTCGCATTGAGGTCAGGGAGGGACTTAATTGCGACAATGTGTTACTCGTAAAGTCTGTTATCCTAATTATTCTTCGGGTTATTTATAAACGCTGTTTTATTAAAGCTTATCGTGTTACGTATGATCAGTACTACGGGTCTAAATGAATTGCACTTGGATAGACTCAAACTAATAAATTTAATATTTCATGGAAAATAATGAATGATGTTTTCCTGACATTACAAATTATGAGGTATCCCTCATATTATACAATAAAAGCGTATTTTCTAAGAAAAAAAACTGAATTTGTAAATATGTGTGTTTTATTTGCTGTGTTTTGATGATAGATTTTATCTCACGCACGGAATGCTGTGGATGCCAGATCACCTCCCGCCCGTTATGTATTTTTTTCAATCTTATCACGTTTTTAATTTATATATGTACAAAAACAAGTGAAAAATTAAAGTTTTAAAATTCTAATAATGTTTCATCATTGAGTTACCAGTTAGTATCTCTAGTCCTCAGACTATGGCAAGCCTGTGCCATAAGTGACTTTTCACTTTTAAAGATATTAACATTTCTAGAGGTCTTAAAAACTAACTTATGTAGTAACACACGATATGGAGGAGCTGGGAATTCTGGGACAGGTATTATTTTATAAAATGTATAAGGCTTTAACGGCCATCGTTCACATTATTCATTCTTCGAGCAATCGAGGAGCTCGTGATGGCGAAACGTCGGCAAACAGCCCGAAAAACAAAGATATTATTTACATAAAGGGACTTCTTGATTTATTGATTGAATCTGAATAAATACTTTTAATTTTATTTAGTGAATAACGTTTGATTTTTGTATGTATGGTGACACTTTGTTAAATGGGATTACAATAAGTGCGGTGCGTGTGTATGATGTTGGCTATTAACATGACTAACTTCATTAAACTGTAATTACTTTTGTCCTCTACCGCACTGAAATTATTGTGATTTGATTTGTAGATCGAAGTTTTCACGTTGACGTACGCAACACGTTTTACAATTTAACCATTGAATCTGGCGACAACATGTGTTCTGATTTGATTTCAGACTTAGAAATAAAAATACTAACACGATGTTGAAAGTAGCATAGATAGTTGGGTAACCTTTTTTCTTTTTTCCTACTGTTATAACTGACAAAGTTATTGTCTGTTAAGCGAGTGGTACACATTAAATAAAGCACTTACGATAGGTACATATATTTTTAGCCGACCTTTCGGCCTCAGTGAAGCGTTAAGCATTATTTTTAATACCTTACTCCAAACTGGAGCCGGTCAAAGATAATTTTGTACGCGATTGCCCCATTGCATTCACGAAGGAAACGATTTCAGATCGTTTCGGCCGCAATCACGAATGGCCGATACTATTCGCAATTTCGTGACTCTGTTACAATTTCCTGTGAGCGCATTGTTTTCAAAACGTTTCATAAAAACGCGTGAAATTATACACTAGCTACTTACCTTACGATAAAACCCTCGGATGTAACAGTAGATAAATACTTACTTTATATCTATTTTGTTACTTTTTCAAAGTATATAATGCCTTCATTTGCAAGTGTTCAAGTTGAAATTACATTGCGCGAGAGGTGCATGTATCAATAAGTTGAAAACAAAACCGGAACGCTGACGATGCCGGTTCAAGTCCTGTCCGAGTCGAAATTTTTTTTCCATTTATTTTCGATTTTTAAAGTATATAGTGTCTTCATGTGCAATAACATGTGGAAAATATTAAAGTATTCAATCGTTTAAGACGTGTATATAAATGGTTGTGGGTAAATATTACTTTCGCCGAAGCTCTTTTTATTATGTAACCAACACGGCCTTTTTTATTAGTGAAAGAGAAAATACTTTTACGCACAGAGTTTGGGACTCCATCCACTCTTGTTCTCTTGTTCTCTTGTTCTACCAGATATAAATGGTAATACCTACGAAAAAAAATCTCAACTGACCGCTATTACCACAGGTCCATTACAACTGACATAATCTAACCTTTTAGAAAATCGGCCAGTGGTAACAAACTGAAAAGCAGCTTTTCACAATTTCCATTTTGTGTCTGAAGGCAGTGTGCACAAAAAAGACACAAAAATGCTAGTCACACGTACACACACGTACGCACAACGTATTGTACGTTTTAGGATGTACCTGCATAGTTTAATTTTTTGTGGCATTAATTTATTTCTTTATAACGCAAAATAAGTAAGTGAATTCATTTATTGTCAAATAAAACTAGATTACCCAAAAATATATACATATAAGGGCGAAAAAAGCAAATATACAACATTTCATAATAATTTACTAAGAGCCGTATGTATACAATTACGAATAGATTTTTTTTTGTATTTTAGATAGATAGTTGCATGTAAGGAGTATTTATAAGAAACAGGATAAATAAATTGTAGCTATATATTTCTTGTGAATAGACGGGCTATATATTTCTTGTGAATAGACGGTACATGTC